AAAACTTTCGTCAGCTGGATACTGGGTAGCAAAAATTTGAGAAAGTTTTCATCCACTCACAACGTTGCATCAACGCATCTAAGAACAAGTTTATGAAATGACACTAAACATTTTCACTCCTATCCGTATAATTAATAGAAAAATAGTATCGAAACAAAATCTGTCTTATTCAAATCAAAGTTTTTATACACTATTGTAAGTCATCCACAATCGATATATATTAATCTATTTTACATCATCATACAACGTATTTGAATTCTATGATGCAACTGTTAATTAAGTGCTTTTATTTAATTTCTCGATCATAAAATAAATATCGACTGCTGTTTACTAGATATAGTGATATTTCTATAATAATTATATTCGCATCTGTTGATTACAATGAGAAATAATAAAAATAAAATTTTTGATTACCCCGACACCATGAGAAACGCTTGTAATATTTATTTGAAAATACTACCTGTTCTCATATAGTATATAAGAATTATATGAAGAATAAATCAACTTTCTATTGAATTTTAAATCTATTTTGCGAATGAGAATTCTAACGCACAAATAAGTTTAAATCAATTAGAGATACAATAGATTACTCTACCCCTATTGCTTGTTGCTATTCATTGTTAAAAATTTCTATTGTCTTCATTCGAGCAAACTTTCAGTACCAAATTGTTTATTCAGAATTGAATAATTTCGTCCAAGAAGAATAATTTCCTTTTCTTCTTCCTTTGAATGTGTATTGTTGTTATGTACGGGATACTTCTTCAAAGTGTACATGCTTGAAAAAAGAAAAGAAGTGGTAAAACAAATAGAAATGGATTGAGTTATGTCGCTTTGCGAAAAAAAGGGTAAGAGAAAAGACATTTTGAAAAAAAGATTAACTAAATTTTATGCGTTCAAAAAAATTCTTTCCAACAACAACAACAGTAGCACATCAACTGCTTTCGAATTTTCGATCGTGGTAAGTTATTAGGAAGAATTTGAAAAATACAATACACAATTTGAAGGGTGTGGGTGTGGGTGTGAAGTGTGTAATAGCTGCCTAATTCAAGTTCGAATATAAATGGAGAAAAGAAAAAGTTAAACTAAAACTAAATCTAGGAATAAATTTAGCTTTAGTTTAAGTTTCCGATTTATGCGACATATCAATACATATATACCCGTCAGCCGCACCCATATTTGAGTACTACTCGATGGTATCCATCAACTATAATCACATTTGAAGTACCCCAGGTATTCTCACACCCATTTTGGTCACCATTCATGATATCCAGTACCCACACCCACATTTGAAGTACCCCGGGTATCCCTTCTATCAATCACTCACTCGCACCGCCACCCACAGTTTCCCCTTAGCCCCACACACACACCCCGTTCTTACATATGTCGGCTTAATATGCAAGAATCCTGCTTTTAGATTTTTTCAGTGACAATGAGCTGTGCACGATAGACTTTCTGGCGGATGCTCTGCTTAGGATGGAAACAGATGAGATATGCTACTGTTTTTCGAGAGATGAGGAAAGTCTGTGAAGAGTCCTGGAGATGCGTCAGAAATCACGACCCTCATCGAGCAAATAATGAAGGAGCTGCCAGATTATTATTTAGTATAGATTTTTGGCTTGTGTATAAATATGAGTATTATTGTGTTGGTAGAGAGCAACCTTAATCGTTGTCCACTATACTAGCCAGAGTTTGCAGTACTCTTGCACTGTATCATTGCCGAAGATTTGTCAGTTCAGGCAGTATTTCTTAGTGTTTCGATTATTTTTTTTCATATTAACTATTTGAATTTCCAACAGGTGATATGCCTGAAATAACACGCTTGTGTAGGTTATGAGAGCCTTCACAATAGATCGATTGATAGACGTCTCTGCCATATAAGCTGGAATGAATCATATCCCCAAGTAAGCTGTATAGTTTGTGATTTATGGTCTGATTTATGAGAATGCTTCTAGATAGTTCCGAACTTCACAGTTGAATTTCAGAGTTCGCTGCACAATAGACGGCTGTGAATGTGTTATGGTTTATTTGAATGTTCTGCCTGTATAGTCCCTGTGTTTAAAACTTGGAAAAAATCTCCGTTAAAGGATTTTGCAGGCTTATAAAGTGATGAAAATTATAGTATTTCTGTGTGATGGATAATAAAATTGATAATGAAAACTAGTTAAATTTCTGATGACAGATTTAGTCAGATTATTTTATTTTTTAAGGTTTGAATCCTACCCATGTCCAAGAAAACGGCGTAAAAACGTTGAAAAACGGCGCCGTTTTCTGTCAGCACAGAAAACGATGAATATAGTGTTAAAAACGGTCCGTAAAACGAACTGACGGATTACGGCGAAATAAGGTGAAAATTAATGCCTTATTATACCGTTTTATAGCCGTTTCAGACCCTTTTAAGATACTCGTTCAGGCGGTTGGAATGATTGTCCTGGGTGCTAATAGGACTTTTCTTTCATTAAAATCTATTCAATTTTCTCTTCTTAGAATTGATTGTATTGATTTCTGATTTGAAACACGATTTCAGTTGATTGCATGTTCAAAATTCATGTAGACTCCATTATTTTTTGAAAAACGATACTTATTGAAGGAATATGAGATTGTTACTCTTCATGGAAAAAATTGTGATTTTCACACGTTGGTGAAGTTAGCATCGCATTCGAGTGAAACCTGCCCGTATTCTTTTGAAGTAATGTTCCAACACGCACACTCTTGTTCCTCGTAGAATTTCATATGCCCTATCGAATAGTATAATTGTAGTTAACTTGATATCGAGGTGTTCTCCTGAATTTTCGAGAAATAAAAAAATCCAGGAATTTGTTTTTCAAAATCTGAGCACATTCATTTCAAGCAATTTTCCGATTCGCATACACATGCGTCAAGCAGATCTCAACAAATTTCAGCTAATTGTAAAATAAGATTTTTCGTCTCCCTGGAAATCTCAGAATATTGTAGTTTTTGTATGAACTGTTAGCGTCACATTCGTCAAAGGGCTTGTCCTAAGTACTCCAGTCATGATCGAAACACAACTTGAGTAGATCTATTCAATGATTTCGGCAGATTGTTCATAGCTCAAAGTAGGATTTTCTGAGATTTCTTCAGTATTATCTTATCAGCAGTGAAGTCAATTTGGAGCTACGGAAAATATGTGAACATGACTGGATAGAGTTCGTCCAGTTTCACTTGGAACATAGGTACACGAGTTGGAATATTGCTTGAAATAAATATGGTCAGATTTTACTAAAAGGATTCCACAGATTCAATGGGATGGGTGTGGAGTGTGGGTGTGGGGTGTGGGTGTGGGTGTGTGGACGTGGATGTGACTGCATTCTTAACTCAACTACACTCACACCCCTCAAGGTGTAGGTTGGCAATAGATCATGTGCAATACCTTTCTTAACCAATTTTAACCTTTGAGAGTATTAATTTCGAATTCAAATCATGAAACAGGCTCAATCATACTCACAACGCAGATGTACATTCACACCTTTTAATTGTTGCCTCCACTATTTTAAACGATGTTATGTTTAACTAGAATATCGAAATCGAGAAAAAAATGGTAGAAACTCGGGGGGATTTAGTCAGAAACAATTATTATTGGCATTCTTTTATTTTTGTCTCATTTTAGAAAATAATATAAACTCATTTTTATGGCGTCAGCTGATGCTATTGAACGGCAAACAGTATGCCGACGTGGGTTTATCGGATCATTGTATGATATTCGAACAGATAAACTGGAAGGTACAAACTTGTTCAAAAAAAAATTACCTGAAGAATTCATTGATGTTAGTGACAATGCTCATACCAGTTATGAACTGCTTTTCAACAATTCACAAAAGGAAACATTCGATAAAATGAATATCGAAGCAAGTTTGAAACTAAGTTTAATGGCTGGTATAGTTGACATAACTGGATCGGCAAAATATCTAAAAGAAACAAAAACCGACAGTCTCACAATTCGAGTTACATATGTCTACAAAGTGAAAACAAAACAAGAGCAGTTACATATTGCAATGGCTGGCTTGTCAGAGTATTTTTCAGCAGATGCATTAGAAAATTCCAATGCCACACATGTGGTGACTGGAATCATGTGGGGTGCAAATGTTGCTGCTACATTTGAACAAGTAGCTGAAAATCTCGAGGAAGTGCAAAAAGTGGAAGGATCCTTATCAGTTGTTTTGAAATCCTTGCCAATCAGTGGTGAAGCAAAACTTGACCTTCAAAATAAAGACAAGTCCAAATTTGAAAAATTACAAATCAGTTTATCGGGGGATATACTTATCGATGAATGTCCACAAAATATTGAGGACGTGATGCGTGTCTTCAAAAAGGTTCCAAGTCGAATCAAGACATTGAATGAAGGAAAAGGACAACAGCTTATTTTTGTGTTGTATCCATTAAAACGAATGGCAGAAATTTTTAAACATGAATTACAAATTAATAGGTAAGTTATTAAAGCATGTCTATACCTACAAGTCTTAATAAAAGCCACCAATGTTTTTTAGGATGATAAGAGAAGTATCACATCTGGTCGTTATGCGTATTGAAGACATTTTTGAAGATATTTCGACAGGAAAGAAAAAATTCAATGATTTTCTTAACGAAATAAAACCATGGGAACATTATATTTCACGTGATTGGCGAGATGCAATTCGTCAGAAACAGGCTGAACGAATTGCAGCTGAAGTGAAAACACAACGTGAATTATCAACTTTATTGCAAAAGATTCGTGGTGGCCAGGCAGAAGAATCTGAAATGGAAAGATTATTAGACGACTTCGATCGTAAAAACCCATGTTCATCAATGTCAATTGAACGGCTTCTGAGAGAAAAGCGAAATTTGACATTAAAAATTCGCGTATTGAAAGATTTTCAACCTGAAAAACATTTGTTGAAAGAAATAACATCTATCAGAGATATTTTATCAGACTTATATGATAAAAATGTGTATTTGTTACATGTATCTGAAGAATGGGAAACAGAAGACAGAGACAATTCGTTGAAGCAGCTGAGATTTTTTAAAGGTATGATCAAGAATGAAACAATTGATTCTGCTTTTATCGTGATCGATTATGATTTACATCATTCTGATTTGGAGAAGGACAAAGATAAAGCAAATAAATGTTGTATTTATCATGCAGCACATGGAAAGATCAAATCCAAAGATTATTACCAAGATTCATTAAGTAAGTTTAGGAAATCACTATGTTATTGTTTGAATAGAAAAGAAAAACATTTTTCGATCCAAGCAGTATTTTCTTGTGTTTTTCAGAGCAATATCTATCTGTGTGATGAACTTGACATTTTGATTCATTTCTTATTGTTTCGTTTTTAGAAAAATTATCACCTAGTCAAATTTCATTTATTTTAAAAGAAAATTCAAGTCTTTCAGAAAAAGATATTCTACAACGACATAAAGACTTTCTGACTGAATAGTGAGTACTATCAAAAGTGACATTTCTTTGACACAGAAGCTATTGTATATGACTTAATTCTATTTTTAGTCCAACAGGGGAACTAACAGACGATGAATTCGTCGGAGAATTACAAAAACTATATAAAGAGTACGTTGTATCCGTAGATGCACTTTCGAAACAGCATGATAAAATATTATTTTTGTTTGACACGTTTAGTGGAAATTCTTCAAATTATTGTGATTACATATTTGCAGCAATCGATAAAGACAGAAGTGGCACTATAAGTTTTAGCGAACTTATGAGCGCTGTCGCTCTTACATCGATCGGAAATGCAGACAACGTTGAAAAACGCCTTTCTT